GGTCTCGCTATGTTGCCCAGGCTGGTCTAGAACTCCTGGGCTCAAGCAATCCTCTTGTCTCAGCCTCCCAAAGTGCTGGGATTACAGGTATGAGCCACTATACCTGCCATGATGGCCTTTTATTTTTTTCTGAGTTGGAGTCTCACTCCTCTGCCCAGGCTGGAGTGCAGTGGCTGCTCCCGACCACCACAGCCTCGACTTGCTGGGCTTAGGCGATCCTTCCACCTCAGCCTTCCAAGTAGTTAGAACTACAGATGCATGCCACCACGCCTGGCTTATGTTAAGTACTTTTAATACAAATACTTAATCATAATCATATCCAAATTGAAATTTTTTATCAAGGTTATTTTTCCAGAGCAAATCTTATTGAGCCATTTTAATCCCTTGATATATTTTCTGTCATGGCATTAGACAAATTCCAAAATTTTTCTGCTTTAATTACTACTATGACCCATTATAGCTCAATCCTACTGGGGAACTCTGAATGACAGCATAGTGCAGGGTTGGACAAACTGTGACCTGGGCCATAAAACAAAGTTTTGTTAGAATGGCCACTGTCATTCACTTACATATGATCTGTGACTGCTTTCACAGTATAATAGCGAGGTTGAGTAGTTGTGATAGAGACTGTATGGCCTAAAATACTTATTTAATACATTTGGAATCTGCCTAATGAAGTGAATTTCTTTACTTGTTCTTTTTCTCTTTCTTTTTTTTTTTCAATAGATATGGGCGGGGCTTGCAATCTTGCCCAGGCTGTTCTTGAACTCCTGGTCCCAAGAGATCCTCCTGCCTCGGCCTCTCAAAGTGCTGAGATTACAGGTGATGAAATATTTTAATATTTATTTTTTAAACTTTACAGAAAAAGTTTGCCAGCTCCTGCTGTAGAACATGCACCAGAGTTATCCCAGCCTAGGGGCAAGGAAACTAAGGAACTTATCTACCAACTCTCCATGTGTCATAAGTTGAGGGCTGCCTCTCTTCCCTCACCTCTCTTCTTCCACCACCTTCCAGTTTACCTCTTGTAGGCTTTGCTTGGGCAACATCAAGGCTGATAACAGCTATGTTTACCTCTGTAGCTATAATTAAGTCTTCCGTGCTTTGTGCATCTGTTGATTCCCAAAGTTGAAACTCAATGTTTACCTTATAGATAAATATCTTTCATTGTCGAGCTAGTAATCATTATGATTATATTTCCTTTCTTGAACTATCTGTAATTATCTTCTGAAAAACAATATTTGCTACATTCACAGGATTATATGAAATCTATGTGAGTTATGCACAATTATAATATAATGAATACACATGCACTTATCACTCAACTCAGAAACTAGACTATTATCAATAACATGTGAGTATCTATGTAACACTCCCTGCCCCTTTCCCCTTACTCCCCTGATAAGTAACCACCACGTGAGATTTTGTGTTTATCATTCCACTGCTTTTGAAAAAAATACTACCACGTGCGGTGGCTCAAGCCTGTAATCCCAGCACTTTGGGAGGCTGAAGTGAGAGGATTACCTGAGTCCAGGGATTTGAGACCAGCCTGGGCAACTTGGTGAGACCTTGTCTCTACAATCAATCAAAAATTAACTCGGCATGGTGGCGCACGTCGGTAGTTCCAGCTACTTGGAAGGCTGAGGCAGAAGGATTGCCTGAGCCCAGCAGATTGAGGCTGGGCTGTTTGCGAGTGAGCCACTGTACTCCAGCCTGGGTGACAGAGTGAGACTCTGACTCAAAAAAAAAAAAAAAAGAAAGAAAGAAAGAAAGAAAAAAAGTACCATACAATCACAAGCTTGTGTATGATTGAACAATGCTTTGTTGTATTTGGTTTTGAGCTCTATAAAAATGGTATCATCATATATATAGTGTAGTCTTCTGCGTGTTACATTTTTCAGGAAACATTATATTCCCGTTTTTTTTGATTTGGAGTCTCACTCTGTCACCCAGGCTGGAGTGCAATAGCACACTCATGGCCACTGCAGCCTGGACCCGCTGGGCTCAGGTGATTCTTCTGCCTCAGCCTTCCAAGTAGCCAGAACTATAAGCACACACCACCATGCCTGGCTACTTTTTTTTGATTTATTGTAGAGATGCGATCTCGCCAAGCTGACCAGGCTGGTCTCGAACCTGTGAGCTCTCACCTCGGCCTCCCAAAGTGCTGGGATTATAGGCGTGTGACACTGTACCTGACCTAGGAAACATTATATTTCCAAGAGTCTTCCATGTTGTTGTGTGCTGCTGTGATTACCACTTATTACTAGGGGCCCTTAGAAGCTCCAGAAAAAACTAAAAAGGATTCAAGGAAGGAAGCACATGCTGGCTCTGCTTAAATAACATTCGCTAGCCAGGCTCGGTGGCTCAGCCTGTAATCCCGCGCCTTTGGGAGGCTGAGGTGAGTGGATTGCCTGAGCCTGCGGGTTTGAGACCCGCCTGGGCAGCGAGATCTCATCTCTACAATAAATCAAAAAATCAACTGGGCATGGTAGCGCATGCCTGTAATTCCGGCTACTTGGAAGGCTGAGACGGAAGGATCACCGGAGCCCAGCAGGTCAAGGCTGCGGTGGCCGGGAGCGGCCACTGCACTCCAGTCTGGGCAACAGAGTGAGACTCCAACTCAAAACAAACAAAGAAACAAACAAACAAACAAACATTCCCAGCAGGCCCATGACCCTCTCTTCCAGCACTGTTCCCTACTTCTCCCATTTTCAGGGTTCAGTCTTCTGACCCAGGGCCTCAATGGTGACTGCTTGTTCTAAGGATGGTACTTGTCCTTGGTAGGGAATGTGTGGACCTGGGACTGAGAGGTTTCCACTTCATTCCACTCCTACTCACCTTAGGGTGTGAGGGCCATGTTTCCCACCATGTGGACCAGAGCAGAGGAGAAGCTGGTCTGCAGAAAATAAGCAAGATGTTCAGGGAGGTACAGAGATCAGAGTCAGAGGAAGATTCTCACAGGATTTGATTCCCATTTCCAACTGTTTCTGAGGTCCAGCTGTACATGTGCCATCAAGATTCATAGTTAAGTCTCCTTTTGCTTACGTTGGGTTCTGTTCCATCATTTACAGATACCTCTGACAGGCAAAGATGCTGCCAGGAATTTTCCTCTGTGCTTTGTTTCTCTATTCTTGTTTGTTAGTGAAAGACTGTAAAAATAATTAAAATGATAATTTAACTACAAACTGCCACTTACTGAGAATTTACTATGAACCAGTGAGTGTTTTTTGTCCATTGTCTCATTCAATACTCAAACTAAGTCTATGAGACAAATAGTATTGTCTGTGTTACAGATGAGTAACCTAAAGCACAGAGAAGTTATATGACATCCAGGTTCACAAAGCTTTTAAAAGGAACTCCCATTGTTCATACCTCTTCCTGTTGAACCCCAAAGCCTGTTTTATTTATTATGATTATTTTTTGGTTGAAGTCTCACTCTGTTGCCCAGGCTGGAGTACAGTGGCACACTCATGGCCACCCCAGCATCGACCTGCTGGGCTCCAGCAATCCTGCCTCAGCCTTCCAAGTAGCTGACACTACCCCAGTTGGCAACCACACTTGGCTAATTTTTGACCTATTGTAGAGACAAGATCTCGCCAAGTTGCCCAGACGTTCTCAAACTGCACGCTCAGGCAGTCTACTAGCCTCGGCTTCCCAGAGTGCTGGGATTACAGACTGAGCTACTGAGTCCGGCCTAGCCTGTGTTCTTAACCACATGTATCACTGTCTCCACAGAGGAAATAAACTCACATCCAAAGTTTGAAAGCCTTTCTCCCCATGAGAACTTCAGATGCTAACTGAGGTCTGAAAGCCACTGTGATTGAGCTGCCATAGGTGACTCAGATTTATTTTCATATATATATATATATATATATTTTTTTTTTTTAGTCGGAGTCTCACTCTGTTGCCAAGGCTGGAGTGGAGTGTGGAGTGCAGTCAGATGGTATGACATCTCCAAGTCCTGTCCTCATCCCACATTCTCCTCCTTCTGGTGCTTAAAAAAAAAAAAGAAAGGGAAAAAGAAGAGGGAAGGATGATGATGGTTAACGAAGTGAGTAGAGACAGGAGGGAAGTAAAGGGGTTGAAGCAAGTAGTTAGAAGACTGATGACATCTCTGGAAGCCATTTCCAAAATACAACGGAGGTAGCATGCTTTCTTGGGGACAAGCTCCTGCTCCCTCTCCCTGCACCATCAGGGGTATTTGAGGTTGGGGTCAGGGCAGACACCTAAACCTCCCCTTTCCTTCCACCAATCATTTGCTAATCCCAGAATCCACCCCCTAAACCTTTTCTAATAAAAGTACTACTTTAATGGCAGCACAGAAAGACAGATTTGAGCTGGATTCCTGTCTTCTTGTTGGTCAACTCACAATAAAGCTTTTCTTTTCTCAGAAACTGGTGCCATAGTATTGGCTTCTGTGTGCTTTGGACAGCGAGCCTTTTTGCTTGGTAACAGTGCCAGGCTCTTTTTTAACAATCAGCTCTTGAGGGGAGCTAATAGAGTGAGATCTCACCCAGAGGAAGAGCACTGATCTATTTTTGAGGGATCTGCCCCCCACCGCCCTGTGACCCAAACACCTCCCATTGGGCTCTGCCTCCTAACAACGCCCCAGTGGGAAATCAAATTTCAACATGTGATTTGATGAGGACAAACAAACCATATCCAAACCTTAGCAGGGACTCTCAGAGACCACTGGTGTTAGGCAAAGGGAGGCAGAAGCTGGAGGGAGGCATCAGATCTACAGTTCTGAGTCGGAGCCTGAGGAATGGGTTTCAAGAAAGAGTTTGAGCTGAAGCCATGGCCCCCTCCCCCATCTCACTGCTCCCCAGGAATATTCCATGACAGTTAGGGGCCCGCTGAATGGGTTGGGGCCTTCTCTTGGATCAGGATCTCAAGTGCCTAACAAGAGCGCCCCTCATTCTCTTCTAGACCCCAGATTCTTTTCCACCTGACAAAAATATTCAAAAGATGAGGGATAGTTGAGCCTGGCATGGAAGGGAGCAATGGAGACAGAAGAGGCAGAAGAGGTGTTCAAGGTGAGCACAGAGGACTCCAGGGGTAAGTTCCCTGCATCAGAAAGAGAAAGGGACAAACATCAGAGGCCTGAAAAGAAAGCAAAGAGCTGGGAGGCAGGATGGGGTAGAGGTAAGCAGGAACAAGAAGTGGGGGTACAGACCTCCATCCCTTCTCTCCGCAGTAACAGGCAGTGGCCCCAGGGGCCGACATCGGAACTCTCTGCTGCCCTTTCAATGGAGAATTACACACAGCTCCCGCTGGATAGCGCAGGTGTTGGCATCTGAGCTCAGCCTGGTCGCCTTCGTCCTGCTGCTGGTCATGGTTTTTTCCAGGAAATGGTTGTACCTCCCTGGGAGCCGCTTCTACCAGCGCTGGCCCACAGATGTCACCAACAGAATCTACACATCATCCCATATCATGTCCATGGGGCTCCTGCACATCTGCAGATCTAATTCAGAGAATGGGAAAGGTGAGTCCCTCCACCCTCCATCCCACCCCAGTCCTCCAGCCTGTCTTGGCTTCTTCTCTCTACACCCCAGGGTACTGTTGTTCCCGCCCTCTGGTAATCTGCACTTTTTAGGCTGTAAAATAGCTCCACTGGCACTGAGATCTCCAAGGACCATTTTTCCTCCTCCAGACTGGCTAAACTGATTTGATGGACCCAATGGAAGATGTCACTACTTTTGATAAAACCCAGAGTCAAATCTGTGCTTATAAGAATGTTGTGAGGGAGTTAGGGGGTGTGCACCTCTAGACCTAGCTACCCAGGAGGTCAAGGCAGGAGGATTACTTGAGCCAAGAGCTTGAATCTAGCCTGGGCAATATAGTGAGACCTTGTCTCTAAAAAAATGTTATGAGGGTCATGGGCTCCTTAGTATCTGGGAACCACTCATTAATCACAGAATTCACCTGAGAGAAGAACCCCATTGAGTTGGGGGTTTTCTTTCTCTAGGCTTACATATCCAGAGCTTTACGAGGAGTCCTTGGAATGTTCCCTTCCAATCCCTGGTCCACTTTCTGTTCCTTTTGCCTCAGGCCTTGCTTTTCTGGGCCATTTTCCTTTTTCCACATCTGACTTCCTTGTGTCATGCTTTATTTCTGTTTTGAATGGCACACTCATGGTAACCGCAGCCTCGACCTGCTGGGCTCAGGTGGTCCTTCTGCCTCAGCCTTCCAAGTAGCTGGAACCACAGGCATGTGCCACCATGTCTGGCTAATTGTTTTGATTTATTGTACAGACGAGGTCTCATCATGTTGCTCAGGCTGGTCTAGAACCCCTGTGCTCAGGCAATCCTCTCGCCTCTTCCTTCCAAAGTGTTGGGATTACAGGCTTGAGCCAATGTGCCCAGCATGCTTCATTTCTTATTCTTCTTTTGTTGATGTTTTTGTTTGTTTATTTTAAGCATTGGGGTCTCACTCTATTACCCGGGCTGGAGTGCAGTGGCAAGATCATAGCCCACTTCAGCCTTGAACACCTCCCAAGTAGCTGGGACTATGGGTGTGAGCTCTTATTCTTGTTAGTCTCATGCTATGCTGTCCCTTCACCTCTTAGAAACTGGGTGTCCTAACTGGGCATGGTGGCTCAAGCCTATAATCCCAGCACTTTGGGAGGCAGAGGTGAGAGGATTGTCTGAGCCCGGGAGTTCGAGACCAGCCTGGGCAACTTGGTGAGACTTCGTCTCTACAATAAATCAAAAAATTAGTTGGAGCCGGGCTCGGTGGCTCAGCCTGTAATCCCGCGCCTTTGGGAGGCTGAGGTGAGTGGATTGCCCGAGCCCGCGGGTTCGAGACCCGCCTGGGCAGCGAGACCTCATCTCTACAGTAAATCAAAAAATCAGCCGGGCGTGGTAGCGCATGCCTGTAATTCCAACTACTCGGAAGGCTGAGGTGGAAGGATCACTGGAGCCCGGCAGGTCGAGGCTGCGGTGGCTGGGAGCAGCCACTGCACTCCAGTCTGGGCGACAGAGTGAGACTCCAACTCAAAAAAAAAAAAAAAAAAAAAAATTAGTTGGACATGGTGGCGCACACCTGTAGTACTAGCTACTTGGAAGTCTAAGAAGGAAGGATCACCCAGCAGGTTGAGGCTGTGGGGGCCATGAGCATGCCACTGCAGTTCAACCTAGGTGACAGAGCAAGATTACAAGTTGGAAACAAAGAGAGAGAGAGAGAGAGAAATTGGGTGTCCTTTCTCAACTCTTGAGGAAAGTCAGAGCTTTTGATGACCATTTCCATATTTTCACTCCCTTTAACATGAAAAAAAAAATCACACAGCTATTATTTTCTTCCATTATGAAAATATTACATCCTTATTATAATACGAGTGGGACCCAAAAAATTCAAAACTATCTTTTTAAAAGGGAGGCCCTTGTAATACAGGCTTCCCCTCCCAAGTAAGTGTTCTAGAAACCCATTGGTGGCATCAGTGTACCTGCTGGAGTTGTTGTGAGAGGCTGCATTCAGTTTCAGTGAATATTTTTTTGCCAAGCTGGTTCTTCCACCATGACAACATGCCTGTTCACTCTGTGCTGAATGTTCAGAAGTTTTTGACCAAAAATGGCATGGCCCCCATACCTCACCTTCCCTATTCACCTGATCTCACCCTGAGTGAGTTTTGTTTTGTTTTGTTTTGCCGGATGAAAAAGTTCTCAAAGGGAAACATTTTGCTGACATGGAAGAGGTGAAACAAAAATGGCTGAAACAATAAAAGGCATCAAAGTTGACAAGTTCAAAAACTGTTTTGAGCAGTGGAAAAGCGTCTCAATAGGTGTATTGCATCAAATGAAGAGTACTTTGAAGGTGACTGATGTTTAAACATGCAAGAATAAATATACAATTTTTTAATAATAAACTCTGGGTTTTTGGGTCCCCGCCTTGTACATTTGGGGAAACAAAAATCTATAATTTATTGCACACTTACTCTATTTGTTCAATTTAATTCTCCATCAGTCCCAAGGGATAGGAGTAATTATCCTTATTTTACAAGTGAGAAAATTGGGACTTAGGAAGATAAAGTACCTTGTTCAATGTCATAAAGCCATTCAGCTGAATCACATGAAATGTCAATATTTGATGCTTTCACCTAAAAAAAGGAGCAATTTCATATGGTTGAACCTAATAACGGCAGGTTTTGAATTATAACTCAGGTGTGACTCATTGTGCAAAGACAGCCAGGCTTTTTATTTTTAGCTGAACAAGATTTGAATAGTTTTTACATCATTGTACTTATTCTTTATAAATTATTTTATTTTATTTTATTTTATTTTATTTTATTTTATTTTATTTTAGTCAGGTCTCACTTCGTTGCCCAGGTTGGAGTGCAGTGGCATGTTGTTCACAGTCACTGCAGTATTTTTTTTTTTTTTTGTGAGTTGGAGTCTCACTTTGCTGCCCAGGCTGGAGTGCAGTGGCACACTCTCGGCCACCACAGCCTTGACCTGCTGGGCTCAGGCAATCTTTCTGCCTCAGCCTTCCGAGTAGCTGTAACTACAGGCAGGTGTCACTACATATGGCTAATTTTTTGACTTATTGTAGAGACAAAGTCTCAACAAGTTGCCCAGGCTGGTCTCCAACCCACGGGCTCAGGCAATCTTCTCACCTTGGCCTCCCAAAATGCTGGATTTTAGGTGTGAGTCACTGCGCCCAGCCTGATACTGCAGTCTTGACCTACTGGACTCAAGCAATCTTTCCACTTCAGCCTTCCAAGTAGCTGGAACTACAGGCATGTATCACTACACCCAGCTAATTTTTTGATTTATCATAGAGATAAGGTTTCACCATGTTACCCAGACTGGTCTTAAACCTGTGGGCCAAGCCAGTCCTCTCATTTGGGCCTCCCAAAGTTCTGGGATTACAGGCGTGAGCCACCGTGCTCAGCAACAATTTTATATTATTTATTTTGTTTTGAGACAGGGTCTTGCTCTGTCACCTATGCTGGAGCACAGTGGCACGATTCCTGAGTAGCTGGGACCACCCATGGGCACCACCACCACATCTGGCTAATTTTTAATATTTTTGCAAAAGCAGGTCGTACTGTATTGTCCAGGCTGATCTCGAACTCCTGTCCTCAAATCCTCCTGCCTCTGTCTCCAAAAGCCCTGGGATTACAGGCAGAGAGCTACCATGCCCGGCATATATTATTTAAATTACAGTCATGTGTTGCTTATTGACTGGGATACATTCTGAGAAATCCAGTTAGGCGATTTTGTTGTGTGAACATCAGAAAGTGCACTTACACAAACTTGATGGCATATTTTGTTATACATATAATATGAAAAACCAAGTGTCCCAGTCCCATTACTGAATAGTCATTTCCCCTACTTGATCTGCAATGCCAATATCCAGTGACATCTACCAGATTTCTATATATGCTCCATTATAATCTCATGGAATCACTGTCATATATGCAGTCCTTCAACGACCAAAATGTGACACATAACTATATTTTTATTATTTAACTTATATTATTTAAAATTGTATCTGTATAATATATAATAAACTTTTCTTATTATAAGTGACTATAATTTAACTTAATAGGTTGAGGTGAGTGGATTGCCTGAGCCCACGGGTTCGAGACCCGCCTGGGCAACTTGGCGAGACCTCATCTCTACAATAAAGCAAAAAATCAGCTGGGTGTGGTAGCGGGCACCTGTAGTTCCAGCTACTTGGAAGGCTGAGGTGGAAGGATCGCCGGAGCCCAGCAGGTTGAGGCTGCGGTGGCCGGGAGCGGCCACTGCACTCCAGTCTGGGCGACAGAGTGAGATGCCAACTCAAAAAAAAAAAAAATTTTAACTTAATAGGCTGGGTGTGGTGGCTCACGCCTGTAGTCCCACCACTTTGGGAGGCAGAGGCAGGAGAATTGATTGAGCCCCAGAGTTTGAGACCAATCTGGGAAATATAGCAAGACCTCATCTCGGCAAAACATAAAAAAATTTAGTGGGGTATGGTGACTTGGGCCTGTCATCCCAGCTACTTAGGAGGCTGAGACAGAAGGATTGCCTAAACCCAGAAGGTTGAGGCTGTAGTGAGCTGTGATCATGCCACAGCATTCCAGCCTGGGTGACAGAGTGAGACCCCAACTAAAAATAATAATAATAATAACTTAATAGATTTATCATCTTTTAGTTGACTGTTTTATTTTTCCACGTTTGGAAAATTTATTTCCAATTTCATATTTGGAAAAAAAGCAACAAAGTTGGTTAATTGTGAAGTTTTTTCTTTCTTTATTATTATTATTATTATTATCATTTTAAATCAGAGTCTCACTCTGTCACCCAGGCTGGAGTGCAGTGGCACGCTCACGGTCATCACAGCTGCAACCTGTTGGGCTCAGGCAATCCTTCCACCTCAGCCTTCCAAGTAGCTGGAACTACAGGCCCATGCCACCACGCCCAGCTAATTTTTTTTTTAATTAATGTAGAGACGAGGTCTCACCAAGTTGCTCAGGTTGATCTCAAACCCATGGTCTCAGGCAATCCACTCTCCTCCTACTCCCAAAGTGCTGGGATTTCAGGTGTGAGCCACTACACCCAGCTTAGTATTAATTCTTTGGGATAGATTTCCCAAGGTGGGTTTACTGAATCAAAGAGTGAAAATATTTTAAAACTCTTAATAAAATTTTCCATATTGCTTTCAAAAAGTATTATAGCAATTTTTGCCTCCAGTAGCAATGCATCAGACTTGTTTCATTATACCTTTGCCAGCAATGACTGTTAACTTTAAATATGCAAATATATACTTATTTCTGATTTTTAAAAAAAATGGCATAGTTTTTGTGGGAAATACAAAAAAGTTTAATAAAAATCATCTAAAATTTTCTCACACAGATATAATTTCAGTGAACATTGTAATGGGTTTACTTTCAGTCCTTTATACAAGGGAGGCCCCAAAAAAACTGAAATTATATTTTAGAGGGCCAGCCCCTTGTAGTACAGACTTCCCCCACTAGGTAAGTGTTGACTTTTATCTGGAAGTTTCGAGAAGGTTGTGTCATGATTTGCGGGAGAAACGTCCCAAGATGTGGCAAACAGGTGGCTCGTTCTTCCACCATGACAATGCACCTGTCCACACCACACTGAGTATTCAGCAGTTTTTGACCAAAAACAGCATGACCCCAATGTCCCCACCCTCCCTATTCACCTCATCTTGCCCCAGTAACTTTTTTTGTTTGTTTGTTTCCCTGAATGAGAAAAATATTTCCCGGAAAGGGAAGCATTTTGTGAAAGAGGTGAAACAAAAAAACAACAGGAGCACTTAAAGACATCAAAATCAATGAGTTCAAAAGCTGTTTTCAGAGGCTGGGAGTGTCAGTTCATGCCAGCAATCCTAGTGTCTTGAGAGGCCGAGGTGAGAGGATTGCCTGAGCCCACAGGTTAAAGACCAGCCTGGGCAACTTGGCGAGCCCTCATCTCTACAATAAATCAAAAAATTAGCTGGGCATGGTGGCACATGCCTATAGTTCCAGCTACTTGGAGGTTAAGGTGGAAGGATCACCTGAGCCCAGCAGATTGAGGCTGCAGTGGCTGTGAGCAATGTGCCACTGCATTCCAGCCTAGGCTACAGAGAGAGAGAGACTCTGACTCAAAAAACAAGAACAAAAACAAAAATACGGTTTTGAGCAGTGGAAAAACCATCTCGAGAGGTGTATTGTATCAAACAGAGAGTACTTTGAAGGTGACTGAAGTTTAAACACGTAAGAATAAATACACAATTTTAAATAAATTCCAGGGTTTTTTTGGGTCCCTCTCGTGTATATAAAATATGTGTACTTTTTCAAAATTGTAGTCTTTCTACATGTTTTGGTTTGTAAACCCCACTTTTCTGTTGCAAGCATTTACTCGGATCATTGAATAATTGTTCTAGATAATCATTAATTTTTAAAACTTATTTGAGGCCAGATGCAGTGGCTCACACCTATAATCCCAGCACTTTGGGAGCCTGAGGTGAGAGGATTGCCTGAGCCCGTGGGTTCGAGACCAGCCTGGGCAACTCGCCAAGACCTCATCTCTACAATAAATAAAAAAATTAGCCAGGCAAGGTGGCACATGCCTGTAGTTCCAGCTACTTGGAAGATTGAGGAGGAAAGATCGCCTGAGCCCAGCAGTTGAGGCTGCGGTGGCCGGAAGCGTGCCACTGCCCTCCAGCCTGGGTGACAGAGTGAGACTCTGATTCGAAAAAAAAAAAAATTATTTGATTAGGTAATGTCTGAACAAAGTGAAAATTCAAAGAATATAAAAGATCGTATTGTGAAATGAGCCTCTTACCTCTGGCTTCCAGTCTCCCTCCCATTTCTCGTGCTTCTTCCCGGAGACATTCTATTCTGAGACAAGCATCTATTATATCATCACTTTATTTAGTTTTTGTTTTTAGAGGCAGAGTCTCACTCTGTCACCCAAGTTGAAGTGCTGTAGCCCAACCACACAGCTCACTGTAGCCTTAAACTGGGCTCAAGCGATCCTCTCACCTCAGTCTCCCATATATCACTTCTTTCTTTCTTGCTTGCTTTCTTTCTCTTTCTTGCTTTCTTTCTCTTTCTTGCTTGCTTTCTCTTTCTTCCTTTCTTCCTTTCTTCCTTTCTTTCCTTCTTTCCTTCCTTCCTTCCTTCCTTCCTTCCTTCCTTCCTTCCTCCCTCCCTCCTTTCCTTCCTTCCTTCCTTCCTTCCTTCCTTCCTTCCTTCCTTCCTTCCTTCCTTTCTTTCTTTCTTTCTTTCTTTCTTTCTTTCTTTCTTTCCTTTCTTTCATCAGAATCATACTCTGTCTCCCAGGCTGGAGTGCAGTGGCACATGCACAGCCACTGCAGCCTCGATCTGCTGGGCTCAGGTTATCCTTCGGGCTCAGGTTATCCTTCCGCCTCAGCCTTCCAAGTAGCTGGAATCACAGGTGTGCACCACCACACCCGATTAATTTTTTGATTTATTATAGAGACGAGATCTTGAACCCGTGGGCTCAGGCAATCCTCTTGCCTCTGCCTTCCAAAGTGCTGGGATTGCAGGCGTGAGCCACTGCGCCTGACTTATCATTTTCCATGAACATACAATAACCCAATTTATGGGTGTATTATAATTTATTTTACAAATCCAGGAGCTTATTGGACATATTAATATCTCTGCAAAAAAGGTTCCTGTACCTAGATTTTGGTTCCAGTTTTCTGATTATTCCCTTAACATCAGTTCTAAGAAGAAGCATTGCTGGGCCAAAGGGCCTTAGCAATTTAGATGTTTTTGGATATTTTGTGCCAGACCATTCACCAGAAATGCTGCCCCCAGCAGTGTATGAGCACATTTCTTTTCTCTAAATACTCTTCTATGGTAGGTATTAATCAATTTTATTTTGAGCTTTGCTAATTTGATAGTTTTAAAAATCACATTTAAGCCGGCTCCGTGGCTCAGCAAGTAATCCTGCACTTTGGGAGACTGAGGTGAGCAGATTGTCTGAGCCCGCAGGTTCGAGACCCGCCTGGGCAACTTGGTGAGACCTTGTCTCTACAATAAATCAAAAAATTAGTCGGGTGTGGTGGTGCACGCCTGTGGTCCCAGCTACTTGGAAGGCTGAGGCGGAAGGATCTCCGGAGACCAGCAGGTCCAGGCTGCGGTGGCCGGGAGCGTGCACTGCACTCCAGTTTGGGCGACAGAGTGAGACTCCAACTCAAAAAAGAAAAATCACATTTAATTTGCAAGTCTTTGTATTAATGATGCATTTAGATGTCTGGGGGGAGCAGGATAATTCTTTGTGTAGACCTTCATATATTAATATTTATTGAACATTCATATTTCTTCTTTTGAGAATTGTAGGGTAAGTTCTCTGTCTTTTTTGGGGGGGCTATTGAGGTATTCATTTTCATATGATTGGGATTATTGAACACTTTGCATATCAAGAATCTTAGCTTATTTAATAAGTGAAGCCAATATTTCATTGTTATTTTAAATGTGCATTTCTCTGTTATTAATGGGCCTGGATTTTTTTTTTGTATTTGCTCATTCAATTATAATTCCTCTTTTGTGAAACCTCAGTTCATCTTGTTTTATCATTTTCCCCAGACAGTTTGAAGCTGTGGACAAATCAGACTACCTTTAAAGTGGCCAAGTTAAGCTTCTGCCTGACCCTGGGGCTGGGCTTTATCCTCACCATGTGGTTACACCTGCGATACCTGCCCAGCTTTCAAAGATTGTCCTCCTTTGCCTTGGTCGGGACCATCCTGAGCTTCTGTGAAGGTGCCCCCTAGCTTGGAAAAGGACTTTACTTCTCCTAATCCACATCTTCCTGGGCACTTCTCCCTCTTTGGGTGGGGGGGGTGTGGGAGTTTGTGGGTAGTAGGAGAACAGAACTGAGAACTGAGTTACATCATTTCGGGTTACTGGAGAGAGGTGGAGGTAGAGGGGTTGACTCCTGCGAACTTCTGGGGCCAGCCACTCTATGTGGTAACAGGAGTTGTGGTTTGTAGCTGTAGCTCAGCAGATAATGAAGAGTCCCCTGTGGAATTCTTGAATGACAATAAGACCTCTCTGCTTCCTGTCTCCTAGTAAGCTTCATTTTCTCCACCCTCATGTTGTTCCCCATTAACCTTTGGATCTTCGAGTTGGAGAGTAATATATCAATCCCCATTGGCTGGAGCTATTTCACTGGTTGGCTGGTGTTTGTCCTATATGTCACCTGTGGTGAGTGGCACAGAAGGCCCTGGGGGAAGGAAGGAACATGGGTGGTTCAAGGAAGGGAAATATGGAGGGAATGGGCTGGTGATATCCAGGGATAGGTTTTTAGGGTCTTGTTGTCCCTTTGGCCTCACCCTTGTCATTTTCGCTCCCACTCTCAACTTTTCTCTCTCCTGTCACCACCTGTCTTTTTCCAGGGATTATTTGCTACTTCAACCATAAACATTTCTGGAGTGTGATTCTGGAAGGTCCCAGTGGCACTGTGTTCAGCAGCAGTGGTTCCAGCTCAGTAGAAATATCTCTGAGAAAGCAGACTGTCACAGACACCTCTATCATCTGGGAGGGAGTCCTGGATCCTGAGAAAAAGAATACACATCTGTAGCCTTTTCTGAACTCCTGACACCATGTTCTGCCCATTTGTTTGAATCCCTCTCCTCATCCTTCCCTCCAACCCTTGAATAGCTTGGCCCTCATAACTGCAAGCTTTGCACTCCTCTTCCCTGTCTTGTTTGAACTTGGGTAATATGGAATAAATTGTGTGTCTTCTTTATTGTATCTGGCTGTTGAAGAGGCAAACTGGAGGAGAAGGGAGAGGAGGGGAGAAAGAACAAGAGGTTTTCCGCCCTTTCTGCCTGGGAGCCTCTTGGCATCCATCCTTGGTCCCTAAACCTACCCAACCTCTACCACAGTAGATTTCTACACAGGCCTTTAGACTATACTCTTGAGAGTTAAGGCTTTTTATACCTTGTTACCCTATCCCACCATTTGCTAGTTAGTGGGTAAGGGGACGTATAGCTGATTGAGAGAGAGACATTACTTATGAACTTGTTGGCTTATTCATAGTGAAGGATTCACTATGGCCCCAGGCTGAGAGGTAGGTTAAATGATGAGAACACAATAGGGGTGTGACTGTTTTGCATAGGTGGTCAGCCTAGATGTGGATCCTGGGCATCAATCCCACTCTCTGTGTCCAGCTCACATGACTAAGAACTTACAGAGCCATGTGCCCTGGACACCACCCCCCTACCTCTGACTGCTAAAGCTCTCCACTCAAGCCTCCCACACCCTCCACCCTAAATAAAACATGACAAGAAAGGAAAGTGTTAGGGTTAGGTCTTAACACCAAAAGACAAGTTTCACATTTTGGTGATAAGCCCAGTTTCACAAAGACACGCGGCAGCCAGTTGCAGTAGAGCTGGTGATGCCCATCAGGCTTTGTACCTCTTGCCCAGAGAGGCTGACATCCCAGGAGACCATCCATGACTGGTCTTGGTTGTATCTATCCCTCCAGATGGAGCCATGATACCAGCCAACTACAGGAGTGCAGCGGCAAATGCTGAGAGGATCAGATATGTTAAAAATACGTGTATTATGTTGACAAAATGATATATTGGTTTAGTGATTAAATATTGGCAGTTTCATATGGTTCAACCTAATATATATGACTGGTTTCTATTTTATTTTTTCTTTCAATTTCTTTTTTAATTAATTAATTTTATTTTAAGGATGTGAGGTACAATTCAGGATTAGGTATATAAGTGGTCATCATACAGGTAAAATATGGGCCTACCATTGATTCCCACTTTAGTTGGTTCGAGATCAGGTTCCCTTATTAATGTTATGTGTCCCCTCCCCACCAATTTCTATTTTATTTAAGTCTCTTTTGCGATTCTTATTCTTCCCACACCTGACCCTAGCAGGTTGAGGCTGAAGTAGCCTTGAGTGTGTCATTGCACTCCAGCCTGGGCGACCAAGTGAGACTCCAACTCAAAAAAAAAAAAAAAGGAAGAAAGAAAGAAACTCACTCCTAGGCAGAAATAGGAAATAGGACTGAGTTCTAATCAAGGAACTTTTAACATTTTCCACCTGGATATCAGAATTGCTATGGACTGGTGACTTCTGTATGATTCTTACTTCCCTCACTTCTATTATTATTACTATTATTATTATTATTTTTTTTGAGTTGGAGTCTCACTCAGTCACCCAGACTGGAGTGCAGTGGCCGCTCCCGGCCACCGCAGCCTCACCTGCCGGGCTCCAGCGATCCTTCCGCCTCAGCCTTCCGAGTAGCTGGAATTACAGGCATGCGCTACCACACCTGGCTGATTTCTATTATTAATTTTTAATATTTATTTTTGATTTGGAGTTTCACTCTGTCACCCAGGCCGGAGTGCAATGGCACATTCACAGCCATCCCTACTGGGCTCTGGCTATCCTTCCACCTCAGCCTTCCAAGTAGCTGGAACTACAGGTGTGCACTACCACGCCCGGCTAATTTTTTATCTATTGTAGAGACGAGTTCTCACCAAGTTGTCCAGGCTAGTCTCAAACCCACGGTCTCAGGCAATTCACTCGCCTCGGCCTCCCAAAGTGCTGGGATTACAAGCTGAGCCACCAAGTCCAGCCACTTCCCCCACTTTTAGACAGTAATGTCTCTAATGGTTCTACTTGGACTGTCCCACCATTATATTTTGGGTATGTGGGGGAAGATAATGTGTCTCTTTAGTTCACAGGTATTCAGATTGAGAGGAATTATACTTGAGGAGCTGTACTTAAGGAGTTACGCCCAAAGACTCTCAGTCATACCTGGACCTAACTTGTGGTGTATTAGTTTCCTTAGGCTGCCATGACCAAGTACCACAGACTGTGGGACTTAAATAACAGATATTTATTTTCTCACAGTTCTGGAGGCTAGGTAGTTTTGGTTTCTTCTGAGGCCTCTTTCCTTGGCTTGCAGTGACCCAGTGTATGTATGCATGGTCTTTCCTCTTTGTGCATACATTCCTGATGTCTTATCTCCTCTTCTTATAAGGACACCAGTCAGACTGGATTTGGGCTAACCCTAACAACCTCATTTAACTTAATCACCTCTTTAAGGACCCTATCTCCAAATACCGTCACATTCTGAGCTACTGAAGGTTAGGGCTTCTACATATGAATTTGGGGAGGGGTACACAATTCAGCCCATAACAGATAGCAAGATTCAGAACTTTGAGCTGATTGATGCTGTTAATAGGATAAGGCTTGCTGTGCACGGTGGCTCACACCTATAATCCTAGAACTTTGGGAGGCAGAGGCGAGAGGATTGCTGTTTGAGACCAGCCTGACCAAAATGGCAAGACCTCGTCTCTACAACAAATCAAAAAATTAGCCGGGCGTGGTGGCGCATGTCTGTGGTTCCAGCTACTTGGAAGTCTGAGGTGGAAGGATCACCTGAGTCCAGCAGGTCGAGGCTATGGTGGCCATGAGTGTGCCACTGTACTTCAGCCTGGGTGACAGAGTGAGACTTCAACTCAAACAAAACAAAACAAAACAAAACAATTGCATAAGACTTTTGGGGGCCTTGGGAGATGGGAGTGTGTATTGCATGTGGAAGGAATATAAACAATCTGTAACCAGAGGGCAGACCGTGGTGGTTTTCAGGAATATAAACAAATTCTTGATATACCTCTCCTGAAAAAATAAAACTTAATTCCCCTCCCCTTGGATGTGGGATGAACTTAGTGACTTGCTTTCAACAAATAGGATGTGGTGGAAGTGACAGTGTATTTCTTCTAAGACTATGGCATGAAAGGCCTTGGAGTTTCCTCATTGCTCTCTTTTAAATAGTTCACTCTAGGGCAGATTAGCTCAAAATACTCAAGCAGCCCATGAAGAGGCCCATGTGGCTAATAACAGAGGCTTCCTGCCAACAGCCACGAGTGAACCATATTGGAGGTACATCTTCCAGTCCCAGTCAAGCCTTTAGATGATTGCAGCATCAGCTGACATCTTGACTGTAACCTCATGAAATACCATGAACAAGAACCATTTACATCCAGCAAACTCACTACTGGTTATATATCCAAAGGAAATAGACTCAGTATGTCCAAGAAATATTTGCACTTCTATGCTTTCTTGTTTTTGTTGTTTTGTTTTGTTTTTTTTTTTGAGTTGAAGTCTCACTCTGTCACCCAGGCTGGAGTGCAGTGGCTTTCTCACTGCCACTGCAGCCTCGACCTGCTGGGCTCAGGCAATTCTTCTGCCTCAGTCTTCTAAGTAGCTGGAACCACAGGCATGTCCCACCACATCCAACTAATATTTTTGATTTATTGTAGAGACAATGTCTCGCCAAGTTGCCCAGGCTGGTCTTGAACCCCTGGGCTTAGTGCTGGAATTACAGGTGTACGCTACCATGCTCAGTTAGAAGTGAGTTTCTATAGCTCTTCTTTTTTCCTTTCTGAGATATAATTTACATGCCATAACATTCACCATTTACAAGTATACAGCCCAGTGGTTTTAGTATATTAATATTTAGTGAACTATCACTACTACCCAATTACAGAATATTTTCATCACTCCAAAAAGAAAGCCCGTATCTGTTAGAGTTTCACTCCCCATTCACCTACCCTCAGGCCCTACTAAGTACCAGTTTATTTTCTGCTCTATGGATTTGCCTATTCTGGGCATTTCATAGAAATGAAATCATACAACATGTGGCCTTTTGTGTCTGGCTTCTTTTACTTAGTATAATGTTTTCAAGATTCATTCAAGTTGTAGTATGTATCAGTACTTCATTCCTTTTTATGACTGGATAATATTTCATTAATAAATATAGATATGCCAGCCTGACTCAGTGGCTCAGCCTGTAATCCCGCGCCTTTGGGAGGCTGAGGTGAGTGGATTGCCTGAGCCCGTGGGTTCGAGACCCGCCTGGGCAGCAAGACCTCATCTCTACAATAAATAAAAAAAATCAGCTGGGCGTGGTAGCACGTGCCTGTAATTCCGGCAACTTGGAAGGCTGAGACGGAAGGATCGCCGGAGCCCAGCAGGTCGAGGCTGCAGTGGCCGAGAGCGGCCACTGCACTCCAGTCTGGGCGACAGAGTGAGACTCCAACTCAAAAAAAAATAAAAATAAAAAAATAAACTCTAAAAAAAAAAAAAAAATATATATATATATAGATAGATAGATAGATATAGATATATATATATATATAGATATAGATATGCCATATTTTGTTTTCCACGTGAAGGTTGGTGGACATTTGGGTTATTTTCACCTTTTGACTATCATGAATAATGCTGCTCTGAACATTTGTATACAAGTTTCTAACACCTCAAAATATGGGTGGGGCATAGTGGCTGACATCTGTAATACCAGCACTTTGGGAGGCCGAGGTGGAAGGATCACTTGAGCCCAGGAGTTCAAGACGAGCCTGGGTAACATAGCAAGATTCCTATCTCTAAATAGTAACTACCATTTTAAAAACACTTAAAAAAGAAAATATGCTTGCAATTCTCTAAGGTCAATAATTTGGAGTAGACTATTAAAAATAAATTAATTAAAACAAATTCATCAACTAGTGTGACTATGAAAAAAATTAAAAGTTAAAAATAAATAACTTGGAGTGGAATTTCTGGGCCACATGGCAACTCTTATGTTTAAT